CTTGGGCTTGTTGTATGGGGAACAAAGAGTAAGAAACAGAAGAGCCGCAGTGCCCTTAGAGCCCTGGGCACACCTGCCCCATGCCTTCCAAATGCTGGTTTCCAGCAAGGCAGTTCTAGAACGTGTGAAATTTGAATATTTGAAGTGTCACTTAAGTGTTAATGGACAATACCCCAATTCACTTTTCTTTCTCCTCCTCAACAATAAAATCCTGATAATGTGGATGGTGGTGGTGGGGGGACAGCGTTCATACAAAAGTAAAATGGCACAACTAAGTATTATGCTGCCCTGTTTTCCTTAGACTATGAGAATGGTATTGAAAAATAACAGGAGAGTCAGCATCTTGAAGTCAGATCTACATGCCATTGTCAATCAAGGCGCTTTGGATATTTCTAAGAAAGCCCTGGCAAGTGACCCAAGCCATGCAGAGGAGCCAGAGAGCCACACAGAAATGAAATGTAATCTCTCTCCTTGGTTTCTTTATTGGAGCTTTGGGTGTATATTTGGGGATAGCCTGACCATCACTCTGATTTTCTTAATGTAGGTAGAATGGGTCTTTACTCTTGGCTGTGCTCATTTCCTATAAGGGGTGAGGAACACCCCAGGGATCACCCCATGGCTCTGTGCTTCCAGAACCTCCCCAAGTGTCAAATGGGGCATCAATGCTGATACATGTTTGCTGAGTGACTAGACAAGTATTGCATATTGATATTGCCCCTTGACAATATTCCTTTCCAGACTATCCTCTTTAGGAAAAAAAAAATCTTAATTTCTGCATCTATCTTGTACATGCATATAGATTCAAATGTCTCTCTACCCTGTTCTGAACTGGATTGAGTCAACTGTTTCCCACCAGATTCTGCTGTCACCACTGTTGGTAGCATTAAATATTATTTTTAATGAAGTATAGTTTAGTAATGGTGCATTTTATCATATTGGACTGGTTTATAAGAGTGATATGAAGCATGTGGATATTCTTGCCATTTATTTTCTGACAATTATTTTTTAAGAAAAAAAAAATCTCCCTTCTATACAGAGCTCGGACTACTGGTCAATTTATCATGTTACATTTCTTGGGGACAAATGTAGTGATAGAAGGGACCCTCCAGACTCGAGGGTTCCTGGAGAAGTTTGGGGGGAGGCTGCAGTATGGTTCTGACCCCCTCTCTAGATTACGGGGTCAGGAGCCAATCTCTAGGCCTTCAGATGACAGTTGCCAGGAGGGTATATGGGTGCCAGGCTCCCCTGTTTGTGCCCTTCCAGGAGCTCCCTGCCAGGATGCCCTAGCTGCCCCTCCCTCCATGGCGTGACCCCTTCCTGCTACACTCAGCTCTAGAGAAATTTAGCTGCCTGCCTAGTCCTGTGGGCTCTTTCAGGGGTCAGCTACATCTTGTTCCTCTTGGGCCAACCAGCTGGTACATAGTAGCATTTCATAACCAGTTGTTGTCTTGATCACATAAAAGTACCACCTAGAAGTTATTCCACCCTCTGTCTTTGACCTTGAAGCAGGGCTGACCTTGGTAAGGTTGTACCAGTTGTATTGAATGCCTACATGTTGTTGACAAATAGCCTCTGCCATCCTCCCACAGGATGGGTATCCTGTCCCTTGTGTGTCCCTTTCCCCTATTGTCCTAGCTGTCCCAAATCTCAGGTCCCCCTAGGGATCCCCCTTCCCTCCAGCCTGACATCAGAAAGGTTAATGCCTAACCTAGCAGGCTTCAGAGCTCTGGACAGCAGTTCTGTAAGAGCCCAAAGGGTTTCCCTCCTAAGGCACTGTCTACCCCAGAAATCCCAGGTGGTCAGCTAAACCCTGTTTCCTACCCAGGGAGCCTCAGGAGGGCATGAGGTTGCCAGGTGCCTGCCAGGCTGGCCTTCCCAGGGATCTGGTGCTCCTGTTGGCATCCTTATGTCCTTCAAAGAGCATGCAGAACTTGGCCAGAAGGCAACACACAGTCACTGGTACCTGGTAGGCACATGCTTCCAAGGTGAGAGGAATCTTAACCAAGCTGAGCCAGGGCCACAACCACCTACTGTGTTTTCTAAACTCTGCTTGATGGGCAGTGGTGCTCAGAGAGGTGGGAAGGCCAAAAGCTGTACTTCCTGCTGTCTGTGCAGGTGGAGGACTTCACACTGGCTCCTGCAGGCTCCACCTGATTGAGTGCATAACCCCAGGCCAGGTGCTGGGCTTTGATGTTCCCCATCCCAAAAATGACATTAATAAACTAGCCTCTTTGTGAAAATGTCAAGGACAGGTGAGGTCATGTCTGTATGGTGCAGTGAGCTCATCTGAAGACAGGGCGGTGTAATTACAAGGTGGAGTCATTGTTTCAAAACATTGCTTTCCATTTCAACAAGTGGCAGAATGTGGGGACTAGATGAGGTGACAAACCCAGCCTTAGAACTTGTCCTTTGTGTTCTGAATGAGTGTGAGGCCCTGGGGAAATCCCTTTGAACTGTATTGCTCCAACCCTCAGGTTACCTAGGACACTGGTGCCTACAGAGTCCTGCAGGGTTGAGAGAATCTTTATGTTTCTTTTTAGGTTTAAGCTGTTTAATTTCTTTGCTGGGAACATCAACAGATCTCAGTGTATTCCTGAATTGTCTGTCTTCCAATCTCCAAGCCTTTGTCTTCCAGGTACAAAACTGTGTGTGTGTGTGTGTTTAACAAGAACAAAGAAGGTGTGCATTGATTGTTCTGACTAAATTATAACCTCCAGTGCCCATTACCTGACCACATGACTCCCAACTGGATGACCACAGAGGGTGACAAATCCAGCCTCAGAGCTCATCCTTTGTGTTCCAAATGAGTGCAAGGCCTTTGAAGTATTGTCTATACCCAGGGGGTATGAGAAACAGGTTCTCCAGCTATCAGCCAAAATGTGTGGTGTAGCAAGGGTGTTAGTGTAGCGAAGTGGCCTTACACTGCTTTGGCAAAGCCAAGTTGGGGGTGGGAGGCACATCACATGTGTGTGTATGTCTGTGTGTATGTGAGCTTATGTTTGGGTGAGCATGCATGTGGTGGGGTACACGTGTACATAAGTGCAGCTTATAAGTGGGTGAATGTGTGTACATGTGTGTGCACATGCGTGTTTGGGAAAGTGTGTGTGTGTGTGTGTGTGTGTGTGTATGTGTACATGTAGGTGAGTGGGCCAGCACATGCACCCAGGGGTACTGTGTGGAGAGTGCAATGGTACCGTGTGGGAAGAACAGGTTTGTCTGAATGTTTTGGAGACATGCCCACTAGACTGTCTAACTTGATTTCAAAAGCTCAGAGAAGGGGTGGGGGTGTAGCTCAGTGGCAGAGCACTTGCCTAACAATGAAACCCTAGGTTCAGGCTAGGTTGTGGCTCAGCAGTAGAGCGCTCACCTAGAACATGTGAGGCGCTGGGTTCAAGCCTCAGCACCACAGAAAAATAAGTAAATAAACAAACAAAGATATTGTGTCCAACTACAACTAAAAAAAAAGAAAAAGAAAAAGAAAAAAAATTTTTAAAAATAAATAAAGAATCCCTGGGTTCAATCCCCTGTACCACAAAAAAAAAAAAAGCAAAAATCTCTCTAGGATGAGTTGGTTGTGGCGGTGGGTGGCTTTGGTCCTTCTGATCAGCCTGCCTCTTGGCAGTCACTTCAGTAGGGTCAGTAAGGTTTGCTTTTCGTCATCGTCGGCATGGCCAGTCAGCCTTGAAGAGCTGAGAATGTCGTGAGAGAAGCCACGGCACCTTGCTTCAGTGGCCCCCAGAAGGTAGGGGAGCCCAGGGCTATGAGCTAAAACTTAGATGCAAGCAGGGCAGCCCAAGGGACCCCAGCCTCTTGTGACACCATGCTCCCCAGAGCTCGGGTGACAGGGAAAGCCTTAAAGAGGGACCTGAATTGGGATGTGAAGGTGTTACCCTGCAGAGAGCTGAGTCTGCTAGTTGCCTGATGTCAACCAATTAGCGAAGGGGCAAGGCAGTCATAGAGAAAGAGCTTTGGTAGAAGCAGCAAGCTGATGAGAAGGTGGAGAGCCATCATCCTGAGGACCGTCGAGCTAACAACTGCAAGCAAAGAGCTACACGGGACATTGAAGGAAGTGTATTTTCAACCACAGACAGGGGTGGGGTGTACTAGGGTAATCATTCATCATGTAGTGTCCATTTCTTTGACACATTCTGATGTTATCTTGAGGCCACCAGATGTCCTGGATCCTGTAAATCTAGAGAAAGATTACTGATAGGAGGTCTTATGACCCATGTTTCTCTTTTCCTTCTTCCTGGAATAGCTGAATCTAGCAGTTAAAATCTTAGTCATTTAGGTGAGGCTTTCCTTTAGAATTTAGACTGCTGGGCAAAGAGAAAGAAAAGAAAAGAAAGTTTGCAAAGACGATGCACAGAGGACAGATTAACCCATTAGCAGCTTTAAAGGGTGCATAGGATTAAAATTAACTGAGAGGAGCCAGGCGCAGTGGCACACGCCTGTAATCCCAGAGGCGTGAGAGGCCGAGGCAGGAGGATCATGAGTTCAAAGCCGGTCTCAGCAATTTAGCAAGGCTCTTAGCAACTCAGCAAGACCCTAATAAAGTATTTTAAAAGGGCTGGGGATGTGGCTCAGGGGTTAAGCACCCTGGGTTCAATCCAGTACCAAAAAAAAAAAAAAGTTAACTGAGAGGGAGGCAAGGCATCCTGGAGAAGGAAGCCACCAACAAAGGGGGGGCATACAGGGAAATGGAGGGCCTGTAGGGAAGAAAGAACACAGACCATAGTGGAGAGCAAGACTGGGGCCTTGGGGACCAGAACGAAGGGTTGAACATTCTTCTTTAAGTCTCTGGCTACGTTGCTGTCACTCCCTGTCCTACCCCATCTGACCTTGTGCCTGTGACTTCTCAGTCAAGAAGTTCACCAAGACCTCAGGGGACTTTGGGCTTTTCAGTCTCCTAGCAAGCTCCTCAGGACTGAGGTAGAAAGCCATTTCCTACCCTCAGCAGGTATCCATTTCCATTCTTTGCCTCTTAAAAACAATCGTTCCAGATCTCGAACGGTTTTATTCATCCTTGTTGGTCTTAGGCAAAGCTTGTGGTAACAGCAATGAGATGTCCAGAGTTGCCTTGCTACTGTGAAAGGCTTATGCCTCATCACTGTTCCTTATTTTAGGGACTGACTCAGCCTCCAACTTGAGCCAGGCTGAGCCCACTGAAATTGTGAATACCAGTGCTGCCTCGAAGCAGCCTGAAAGTCTTCTCCTACATCGTAAACTGTTTGACACTACATACGTCTCAATCCACCGTGGTGTCTGCAGCCTCCACCAATGAGGCGTGTTAGAAAAATGGTGTTCCTGTGGCAGTATGCCTTTGAAGGACTTGTTTTTATAAAATAGCTTGTCTGGTAAACGCTCACAGACGATTGTCAATAAAACACTCAGACTGTTAAAATGCAGACCCTTGGGCTTGTCAGAAATGACAAATGGTTTCAATTGTTAGCATCTGGCAGCACGCAAGCAGAGGGAAATGGCCAAGTTTTTGGTGTGTTTTCCAGTGTTCTCATCTCCTGCAGTTGGGGCCCAAGAACAGTTTCTAAAAGAAGGAGCAAGAAGTGCCACAGGGTGGTGGTGATGGGAAGAATGCTCAGTGGGGTTTATGGCTGATACCCAAACATTTGTGCAGAGAGAAGTCTAATTGCCCAGAGCTCCTTTCCTGGTTGCTTTTAGAAACGATCCTTGTGGTTTTTATAGTTTCATTGTCTCTCAAACTGCCCCTAAATTTCCACTCCCACCCCTGTGGATCACCAGTGGGAGGAGTTCCTCTTGTGCCCCATTTCAGATGGTGAGAAACACCCTACTATTGAAGGGAATTCACATCTACCCAAAGTTCAGGGCAACCCTTTGGTGTGTCAAGGGCATTGGATGGGGGCAGAAGGGAAGAAAAATAGTGATGAGACAGGGTATTTTGTCATTTCTTGCCATCTTCCCTCTCTTCTTCAAAGACTGGCTGCCAGCCAGTAGGTGGTCCACATGGACTTTGATTAAGACTTTGAAGAGGCTTTAGGGCATTCATAGAACACATGCCCAGGACTCCCGGCTGTGCAGATCACCTCAAGCATGGCCCGAGACTGCTGTCAACCTAGGCAGAGAGAATTTCTTAGTCTTTATATAGCAACATCTCATCGATACCCAGGTTAGGGCTACTCAGGCCATCAGATGACCTTGACTTTATGGAATGCAGGAGTAGGGTCTTTCCAGTCCTGAGAATGTTTACACAGTGCAGGAACCAGCTCTGTCTTCCTGAGTAAGCACCCTTATTTTTCATTATTATGTGATTCTGTGTCCCCTTTTTTCAATCAGACGTGATTTGCAAAAGGGCTTGTCAAAACAGCCACCAGTCTTCTCGGTGACGATTGTGTAGACTTTCAATAAGTCTACCCCATGGTGCTTCTCTGTGGCACTTGATAAAATAAAACCTGTAGACACAATGAATTTAACAGTTTACTTGAACAAAGGAAAAGTCACGGACTGGGTAACCCTTAGAACTAGAAGAGGTTTCAGGGAGCCCTGCTCTGCAAGGAGGAGAGCGTTTGCAAATGAGGAAAGAATGAAAAAAAAAAAGCAGAAATAAGCAATTAAAAGCAATTGATCAAAATTTCAAAGTGACTTACTTTCTTTGTCAAGGTCAAAGCAGAGGGCACTTCCTTATTGTGGTGAGGGAAAACTCTTCTGTTTTCTCTCTGCCTTTTATTCTCAGAAGATCAGATAAACAGCTTAGTTTCAGCTCGGTGACATAGAACGGTTGCCAGTGGGCTGAGGGTTCTTTTCCTCTATGCAGATAGAAATCAGGACTAGGCCAAGTGCAGCTCCCTTCGAGGATAGCAGCTTTCAGCTCTTAGCATTAGTGGCTTTCCCCACTGCTCTCCTGGCAGCCAGAGCCAGCCCTGGAGTTATCAGCTCCCGGCAGCTCTCCGTCCCTCCTGCTGTTTCCTGGCTGTTAGTCGCCTTCAGTGTTACCAGCCCCGACAGCAGTTTTACAAGCTGTTTGTGCAACTATTTCAGCCTGCTTTACTGAGAAGAAATCACAAATAGCCAAAATATAACATCAACATCCAGAGAGGTTTTATTAGGACTTATGCTGTAGCATAAAGGGAAGCCGCACACAGACTATTCCAGTAAGGGTAAGGGAAAAGGCGGGCTCACACATGCACAGTGTCCTGCCAGCAGATTTCAGACTTTCTGCTCAGTCATGGGCAGGTGAGGTCTATCAAGCAGGTTTTCACCACTGTAACCAAAAGATCTGACAAGAAAAACTTAGAGGAGGAAACGTTTATTTGGGGCACATGGTTTTAGAGACTCAGTCCATGGTTGATCAGGTCCATTGCGCTGGGCCAAACGTGGGGCAGAACATCAGGGCAGAAGGGCGTGGTGGAGGAAAGCTGCTCAACTCAAGGCCCAGAAGCAAAGAGAGAAGGAGAGGGAAGAGGGAGGGGGAGAGGTGGAGAGGGGGAGGGGGAAAGAGAGAGAGAAAGGGGGGGAGGGGACCAGGGGCAAAATATAATTCCCAAGGGCACACCCCCCCCCAGAGACCTATATCCTCCAGCCACAACCCTCCTGCCTACAGTTACTATCCCATAATCCATTTAAATTATTAGCTTTCAGCTCTCATAGTCCAATCATACTGCCTTTGAACAGTGCCTAACATGAACTTTTTGATGGGACACCTCCTATCCAAACCATAACAGGAGAGCTCCTCACACACCATATTGGGAACAGCTAAAGTGTCTGGAGCATCCAGACAGGCTATGGGATGGAGTCATCTGGGAGGGAACCCAGATGACTTGCCACAACCAAAGCAAAATATCTCCAAGTGGCCTCATCTGATGCAGCCTCAGCCAGCCATGCAGCGGATTGCGGCCCCCATAGTTTCTAAAGATGGAATAATAAAAAGTACTTCTTGTGGAGTGCTGGGCCCTTTTCTTCTATCTCAGAACTTTAGCATGCATGAGTGATTCCATTCTGTTTAGGTCTCTTGGAGCCCAGTGCAGGTGTTTAATCCATAAATTTAATCCAACATTTATCTGATCTCTATTTTAAAAAATTTTTGGAGATTGTTAAAAAAAAAATAGGCCAATTTTCCAGGTCCCTGATTCTGTCTACTTACTTCAGAGGGTTCTGTCCTGGAAACATCTCTGTGGAGACGAAGAAAGACCAGAAAAAAAGCCCCCCACCCCACCCCGTGTGCCACTGCCTCAGTTCTTACTCTTATCATTTTGTCTTTGGTTTTTTTTTTTTGGTTTTTTTTGGCCTTTTAAAAATGTCTGTGCATGACAAACTTGTGCATTTAAAAAAAAAGGCCATTCTTCATTACTTTTTTTTCCCCTCTCACAAAAATAGTCAAGCAGAAGCAAAGAAGAGTTTATAAAACTGGCCGCCAGCTTCCAGTTACGATGGAATTTCCTTCTCACTGCTGTGAGCAAAGCCATGACCCTCTGCCACAAAGAGAGTTTTGGTAAGCGAGAGAATGCAAAAATATTTTGGGTTCTACCTTTTTAAAATGTTATTTTGGGTCTAGGAGAACAGCACAGTGTTAGGCACTGGCCTGACATATGCAAGACCCTGAGTATGATCTCTGCCAACACACACACTCACACACATACACACACACATAATAAAAATTTTACTTAGTGTAAGTATTGTGAATGTTGCTATGTAGAATCTACTCATCTTCTTTTAACTTTTTAAAATTTAACAAGCATCACAGATAAAGAAAACCATACAAAACCACAGTCATCTTTTTATTAATGGCAAAGAGATAGTCCATCAAAGGGACTAGGCTTCACTTTCTCATTCCATGATAGTTCGACCTGTAGAAGGCTACCCTGTTTTTTTTTTTTTACATTATGAACTTTTTTTTTAAGAAAACATGGAGACACAACAGACAAAGGGGGGGAAAACATGGGTTCTTTGGAGCATCCGTATTTAACTTCAGGGAATAGCAATTGGTAAAGTTGCCATTGTACACAGAATGAAGTCATTTTGCAGATTTGCTAGTTCATGATTGATCTTCCTCTATTGAAGAAAGTCATGTCTTTGACAAAGATGCTCATAAAGGGGGGTTATAGGAAGGGAATTTTTTTTTTGCTGCTTCCATTCAACAGATATTTTGATTTCCCTACAATGTCCCAGGTACCTTCCTGGGCACTTGAATATACAGCAGTGGAAAGACAAAGTCCCCGCCCTTGTTAAGTTTCCACAATAATCAGGGCAGGTTGTCTGTTTCCCAGAGCCAGATGCTCTCTGGGCCAGTAGGAGCAAGGAGAAGGCAAGCCCTCTCTCAGGTCAGTTTTGCAAACACCCTGAGAAATCACCCTGGAGCTCTTTTGAGGGTTATTGGTGTAAGCAGCCACATAGGTGACATCCATTTATAATCAGTTCCTCCCCACTAGTGAGGTCCACACTGACTCTGCTTTATGCTGACGCTCTTCCAGAGCAACATGAGAGAGCAGAGTTCATGTGCAGTCACAAAATGAAATCCAGCCTGTGGTTGTCTTTGCTTTTCCCAGTCTACCTTGCCTGAACCTCCATATGCATCAAAATATTTGCACCAGTAATTTTCCCTCTTCCTCTTTCACAATGTGAGAAACACGCTTACCTGCCCAAATCCAGAGAACGGATTCAGGGACATAAGGTACAGGGAAAGCCAAATTTTACTGAAGGTCTTGCAAGATCAGGTGTCTGGGTGAGCAGGCACACTCAGAGCAGTTGCAATTAGTGTTTCATCCCTTACTGAACTAGGTCCCTCCCTGGGTCCCTCATCGGTTGTGTACTATGGCACGCACAATATTCCTGAAGGCCGCCTAGGTTTTTCTATCTCCTATGGAAACCAGAGTTTTTGAGATGAGACCAGATTCCCTGCTTCTCAAATTCTCTTCTGGGTTCCTGTCTCACAAATTTGAAGAATAAAACCCACAGACAATAATGGAAGGGAAGGATAAACTCCCTCTGTGTGGGAAGGGGCCTGAGAGCAGGAAAACCATTCTGGTGTGCTAGTTTAGGGGTTTATATGGTTTCGTGGTATGAGCATGGATCAAAATCTATGTTAAACAGGCATTGAATAAGTATGAAGGCCATGTGTCCTTTAGTTTCAGTTTTAATCCTTCCTTCCGGTGACTCCCACCTGGGTTCACACCCACCTTCCAGTATCCCTTCTCTTTGGGACAAGGGAGTTGGCTGGAGTGTTCCCACAGGTGGTGAGCCTCAAGGTCTTTTACATTTGATAGAGGCCTTGATGGTGCCCATTAATATTTCTAGGGGCTAGCTTCCTGGTGTGGTTTGAATAAGACCTTATTTGGGGTCCATTACCATCACCTGACCATTCATTATTTGTCCTTATTTACTATTGGGTCATTTACAAAATGTACTTTTGTGGTTTGAGGATTGCAGATTCAAAGTCAGCCTCAGCAGTTTAGTGAGGCCCTAAGCAACCTAGCAAGACCCTGTCTCAAAATAAAAAAGGGCTGGGGATGTGGCTCAGCGGTTAAGTGTTGCTGGGTTTCAACCCAGTATCAAAAAGAAGAAAAGAAGCGTACCTTTAGTCGTCTCCATCTCCCTTTGTTCTCCATCTCAGAAAGAAGAAAAGAAGTGTACATTTAGTCATCTCCATCTCCCTTTGTTCAGGAAGCCTTTTTGGGGTGAGTGCATTTTGCACATAGCGGTTCTGACTTTTTCAGTTACTATTTCTTAAAAGAGAGATTTTTATCTCGGTTAGTTAGGCCGATGCCTTCCCCTACCTCCTGTTTGTATTGTATGAGTTAACTGTGGTAACCATTCTGCTTCATTTTCTCTCTGGCTGCTTTTCTTATGTCCCCAGTAAATTTACATTTAAAGCCAAATACTGTATTTTGAAAATGAACCACCAGACTTTCTATTTCTCACAACAAGGATCAATAGGCTAGACATTGTAGGTCAGATTTATCTGATTTGCTTCTATTTGTAAATTAATGTCACCATTCTCCACTGCCTCTGTATGTTTAGTACTTTGAATTCTCCTTTGAACCAATTGCACCATCTGCCTCATTCCTTCATTTATTAGCAAGTTAAATAAAATTGTTTATGAGTCATAGTTTTACCTTCATGTAAAAATTATCTTTTAACAATTGCAGTAAGTGGGATATCTCCCACTGTTTCTCAGGCAAACATTAAGGACATCTTCTTTCTCCAAGAACAAAGGGACACATTCAGCTCTGGGAACAGCATCCCGGTTCCCTGTAGGGTTCACTTTTCTCCCAGCTCCCACCAGATGTATTTTCAGTTCTCTTTGTGGCTTAGGCTGTTCTGCAAGGATTCCCTGGGCATGGATTGCTTGCTGTAAGAGTAGTGAACTCCCTCACCCCGCCATTCCCTCACCCCTCCTCCCCCTCCACTCCTGCTGAGCAATGCTGATCACGTGCACAAGAGTTAAAAGCCCCCAGAAAAGTTGTTAGTTTCACAGTGATTTATTTATGCCTCTCTGTGTGTCTGTCATCTCTCAAATGTATTCATTGCTGGTTGTTTTTAAAATGTAGGCTCCTGGCATCTGTTTCATCTGCTGCTTTTGGAATATGTGATTCACATACTTCAGTCATACATAGAAGAAGACGAGGAAGAGGAGGACATGGGGAATCTCAAGGACATGCTGCCAGATGATCAGTCTCTCATCCAGCCAGTCGAGGCCCTTTTCCATCCTCTAGATTCTCCACCAACTCAGGAGTGTGCAGGCCCGAGTGCAGAGCCACCCTGGGTGACCCTGAAACACACAAGCCAGAGCCCCATACCGGAGGGCATGAGCAGCATAGTTCTCCGGGTCCTGGGCTTCCTGGTGGACAGTGCCACAGGCAATAAGGTAGAGACACTGAGACC